CTCAGCGGTTCCTATAAAGAATACCCCAGATGAAGATCCCATAAAACGACCTATCCCTCTTCGATCAAGGTTCATGCGCCCGACTTCCCGAGAAAGAGGCTCGTCTGTTGCTGGTCTTGGGCCAAGCTTTGGTACACTCTCAGGGCGATTGGCTGTTGTCGATTGCCAGGGAGTAGAAGCTGCACCAGAAGCTTCCAATTCCTTAATGCGTTTATCTTTATTGTCATTGCCCACGCGTAGCTTATGGACCTCCGCTTCCAACTGCCGCAGACGTTCTTCAATGGATTCGGTATAGCTACGGTGCCAATCGTCATCACCATTTAGCCCCAGTTCCGTTCCCCGCTGTAATTGATGTCATGGTCTCCGCGCGTACATACCTTCTTGGGTAGGACTTGCGATTGAGTTTGACCGTAGTGAGGCACTCGAGGCCCGCCGTTTTGCACCTCCCACACTGTATCACAAGGGCGGGGCGTAAATGAATGCACGAAAGAGGGCCATTGAATAGGAATGAATGAAGTAGATAGTTATACATACAGTCGGAACCGTGCCATCGCATCGAACCTAAAAAGCCAAATGAACGACCATTTCACGTGTCAGCGATAGTGTTTTCTGCCGCGCCCAATGCATTCCATCCAACTGCGTTGCATCCCAAGTTCATCCACTTTCAAGATCAAACCCCCATCCAATCCAAACCTAACAAAACCCACCTTCTTAAACCGACACCGATCGCAAGCCTGAATCGCCCTCCCCGTAGAAGTCAGCGCTGGCAGGTCCACGGCTTGCTGTCGACCCAGCGAATGATTGTGATCGCGCTCATCAACTTCGCCATTGGCATTGGCACTGGCATGAGCTGATTCCTCCGCCATGCTGTGTGTGTCTTTCACATATAGCGACAACAAACAACAATGATATTACGTAGTTATCGTAGTTATCGTGGTCTTCCTCTGCGAGCGACAGGCACGAGAGCATAGCAGTATAGGCGGACAGGAAGTACTCGTGGATACTGCTGGTGGCGGTGGTAATGGATGCATCTTTTCTAAAACCTTGACTAGGGGCGGTGGTCGTCTTGCGCCGCTAGGATTGCCCGCATTATTTCTCTAGAGTGTGTCTGTGTGCTCTGTTTCCCTCAGTGTGCTCTCTTTCCGCACACCTTCGGATGGAACCTGGGAGGCGTGAGGTTCGTCAAACTTCACGGAAAGTTAGGTTTGGGATTGGCAGTCTGCATTTGGTTTAGTGCAACCGTTTGTGGGGAGGATAAGCGCGGGTGTGGAGTCGGGTGCACAGTTACCCCGGATTCCAGCCGCAACTTACCACAGTTTGGCTACAGGATGTTTGTGCTTTAATCTAGCTGGTAAAATCAAATTGGTATTGTTGATCACTAGTACGGCTGGTTCATCAAGTCATAAATAAATACCCTTGAGGGGTTGTCTCAATGAGAATACAGGAGAATGGAAGCGGGTATACAAAAAAACGTTTTTGTGTAACAGACAACGAATGAAAGCATTAAAACCCCGAGAAGTGGGTATGGCATAAGTTGTCATATCGTAGTGTGGTGGTGGCATCAGTCTCATCATCATTGCAAACAATAAACACAGAGCAGCGAAAAGAGAACAAGAGAAAAACAGAGGGGAAAGAAAGAAAAAAAAAAAAGGGGGGGGGGGGAATTCAAATAACTCAATCCCAATCCTCCATATCCATCCCATCATCCTCAATTTCAATATTCGTCCCAAGCGCCTCCTTCCCTTCTTTGATCATCGCCTTAAGCTGTTGATTCAACCGGCGAATACTAGCATCCTCCTCCCGTTCGCGCCGTTTCGCCCTCGCAGCAAGTCGCTGCGCTTCAATGGAAGCCGGTGAACTGCCATATTTGGTTGGACTGCTTGATTTGGCAGGTTCGTAAGATGTTTTGCCGTGGCTAGAACTGAGCTGATGATAATGAGGATGGTGATTTGAGGATGAGGACGGAGAGGAGGGTCGTGCGAGAGTTAGAAAGGGTTGTTTTCTGGCAAGTCTACCGACTGCGACTCTTCGTGGCGTAACTGAATTAGTCTTCCGAGCTATCTTGTGCGCTGAAGAGTGATGTGTTGAGGACGGGCTCATATCATCTTCCTGCACATCTTTGGATTTTTTGGCGTTCCGAACCAGGATCCAGTTCCCCTGAAGTTCATCATGGTCGTTGTGGAGGACACGCGGATTTTTATGAAAGGAATCGACGGGGAAATGTCCCGGAACCGTAGCAATCCCGCCATCTTGTCTTCCACCAGATGAGGAAAAGACATCATCCTTCTCACAGACATTCTGCCACGCATTTGGTTCTTCTACTACCTGTGATGGTGGTAATGATGGTGCTGGCGGTTGCTGAGGTTCTGATCCCATGTGATACCCCTTACCTCCCCCTGCGTAAAACCCGCTGAAAGGACCTGACCAACAGAAGTCCCATACTTTCCCGGCAACACCCCCCACAATCTTCACGACAGTCGAGCCCCAGCCTCCCCCAGTAGCATTATTCTTATTATTATCAGAATCAGGACTCTCCGATAATAGCGACTCCCGCCTCCCTCTTTTCCGAGAATTCACATTTGCATCTCTACCACCACCAACAACAGGTGACAAGGACCCTATTGAAGGGCTATCCATCGGCGTATGCATCAGTTCCCGATAGCGGTTAGGTCGATAGTCCACCTCAGGCCCATTTCCCTCGTAGCATTGTTTCTCAGACCCCGGCGTAAACGGCGAGAAGTCAGCAGCACCCGCAAAACGATAATCCGTATGTATTAATTAACCAGCGGTATGGGAGTTGCGATACGAGACAAGGGCGCCATTATCGTCATCGTCGATAGCGTTGACCGCTCTCCCCACGAACTCATAGTCGCAGCCGTAGTAGTCGCAAAAGTAACAGAGCCGTCCTCCAGGCTGGGGCTGCCATCCCCCCTCATCACTCCGCCATACCCATATCTTGCACGTTTGCGACTTCCCTGGTGCTCCGGCCCAACCGAATGGCAGAGAGAAGAAGCTGCGGGGTGTGTGTGGGGGGAGTGGTAGAACCGCGATCTGGCACTGGCGAGATCGAGTTTGGGGGGGATAGGGGAGTCCAGGAAGAAGGTGCCTGGCATGGAGGATTCGGAAAATGTCATCGTTGGGGGGGCTGTTTTTGTCCCCGTGGTGGTATGCGGTTCCGCTGTTGCGCCCGGATGGCGGTGACGTTGTGGAGTGCAGAGGGGACGTTTACTATCATTTATTATATTGCGCAGATTGTGAAAAGGTGTCATGGTTGAGCCCGAATGAAGTTGGAGTGTGACAGCCGCAACATAATGTGGCGGGCCCAATGCTCACGAAAGCAAGTGCCAAGATTGAGGGAACAAATAAAACTTTAAGGGCAGAATCAGATTGCGATTCCATCAATGCTGTATCATTATTATTATTATTATTATTCTTCCATTTATACTCATATGCAAGCGGAGCTTATGATGAGTCCTTGCGTGATGTTAAATACAGGTCAAGTGTTGGTTATACAGGAGGAAATACAGGTGTTGAGACTATGCCAAGATAACAAGAACATAGGAAAATACAAAGGAGTGACAATTAGATAGTTACATGCGATAATAACTTCTCAGCCCAGGAACATAGAGTGATTCATTGGAGCGATTTGTACACCTCTGTATTTAACTGTGCCATGCTTACTCACTCTCTCTAGTGAGTGCGCCACAGCATACGGAAAACCACACTGTAAAGAAAATATTTTGAATATAGTGATCTTCAAAAATTAATTAATAATCATCATCACATCTATCTATAATATAAAGATTATCTATATACTCATTAGAAGGTGTAGAATCTAGACTGACCGTGTGACTGTGTCTGAGACCATATTCCACCCCGCGATTTATTCCACGACTTTCCCCCCTTCGCCCGCACCCCTTTACACCAACCTCCTTCTCTCCATCAAACTCAACAGATTATATCCTAACAAAGGCCCAGAGGATACCTCCGTTTGAAAGCTCACCAGGCCTTCGGCGCGTGCACAGGCAACCTCATTATACTCTCATTCTGAATCAAGGACCACCGCGACAACATCTATTGAGCTGGTCACTGCATTCAAAAAAATTCGTGAACACGGTGACTACGGCGTTTCATCATCAACCTATGCAGCAGCTGATGTTACTGTATAGGATAACATTTATCTGCGATCGAGAGCGCTTTGCAAACACTGCATTTACTCGCAAGCTGCGTGCTTCGCCGCTCGACGGGAGCTTATGTCTACTACGGTCGGGGACAAGGCACTCGGCGGAGAATGGGAGGAAATTTCTGCTTGTGCGTTTGAGATAACGGAAGATATGACTATGGAATTCCAGGGTAGATCATGTAATGTTGTGGACAGCGAAGGAAAATTGGTTGAAAGTTTAGGATTATCCATTGAACAAGATTTACATGCGCAATTGGTCACCTGACAGCTTGCAGCCAATGACAATAAAATTGCCATCTAATGCTTTCTTTTTGCTTGATCTCGTCGCATCTGGATGACGGGAAGATGAGGAGTGGCGCACTCAACTCGGTGCAAGGCATGCCTTAGTGAATTTGCTAGAGTACATGCGTCATTTCTTGTCTTTCTTGTTGGAACATTCAGTAGTTTATGAAGTTAATCAATTATGTAAATTTTTTATCTCTATTTTACACATCTATAGATGCCTACAGAGTCCCGTTTTTTGGGAAGCTGATACCTTTGAACATACAAGTAGCATGGAAAAGCCGCAAGACAGGCAGAGCAAGGTTGGTTTTAATGCCAAGAGGGTGCCACCTCACCTACGCTGTGGGATGGTGGGGTTGGGACTATTACCCCTCCAAAAATATTTCCCCGACCTGACAAGACTCGGCACGAAACACCCTCCAATTTCCAAACGCCAGTTACGACTATATCCAGTGGAACAACCTCTTCGCACACTCAGAATCATAGACTCCCACGCCGTATCATCATTACGCCCCGCATTTACCTTCCAAGCGACATGTCGACCGAATCGAAGAAAAACCTGAATGTTCGCCGTTTGCCTCCAGAATGCGACAATGAACTGAAAAACCTCAAAGAACATGTGAATAAAGTCGTATCGTGGCGCTCGATATCTAATACTATGAAGGAAAGCATAGAGTCTCTAGACTCTTCAAAAGTTGAAACCATATTACGTGAAGTCGAGGCAGATGTGAGTGTCATTCCTCTCTTCATGGATAATAGGTAACTGATGGCTATGGCAGGACTCATTTAAAATTCTGAGAATAACTGACCGCACCCGGTTTATCACGCCGAATCCTGTTAACCTCGTCCCTATATCAAACGATGTAATGATATCCGATCACCCTGATCAACATTCAATAATAACCGTTCCGGCTGGAAGTATTGTAGAGGTTACAGGGACAGTCTGCTATTTCCACTCTTGTGTTGATCTACTCATCATCTAAACCACTTTAAGATGAATGGCGAGATGGGCAATGGGGATATCGCAAGGCATAGAGAGAACAGAAAGTATGCAGTAGAATGAATATGCAATGTTTCAAGACTCTGTGACTCCAGTTTAAGTGGAGTCAAAAAATTGTACTTTGAATTAAGTTATGTATTAAAATGATTGTATTTCCTACCCTCCTCCCATAAAACCTTCCTGGAACGCTGATGGTCATGTATTTGAACTGTCAGAAGTTGGAAACAGTTGTGACTGACGGAAGTTCATGCCATCAGCTGGACTAGTATCTGGAAGCACCAGGGAATGATTGTCATAACCCACACTCCTCGGCGATTGCTCGACTGTTGATTGCCCAGATATTGGATGCTGTGTGCCGAGGTCATGAAACATGCTCTGGTCAAATAACACACTCGGCCATGGCTCGACTGTCGGCTGCTCAGATATTGGATGCTGTGTGCCGAGGTCATGAAGCATGCTCTGGTCAAATAACACACTCGGCCATGGCTCGACTGTCGGCTGTTCAGATATTGGATGCTGTGTGCCGAGGTCATGAAACATGCTCTGGTCAAATAACACACTTGCCCATGGCTCGACTGACGATTGGGATTCTGGGGTAGGACTTGCATGTAATGATTGGCCCTGAGGTATACGATTCCGGGAATTAATAGGCTCTCCAGATATTCTTCCACTGGCTATACAAGGGAACTGACGTTCATGATTTTCGTTGACGATAGGGGCGAGGTCAACACAAGAATCAGGGTTGTTATTGATGGGCTCAGTGACACTAGTACCGCCTTGCTCAGAAGAACACCTAGGAACAGGATCACGCTGTGGTTGTAGCCGTGGCATCCGTTGTTGAAATTGTTGCAGCATTCGGGCAGCGTCTCTCTCGTCGAATGGGAGCTCCCTGATGCGACTTGGCTCCCGACCATTTCGCACTTGCTTTGAAACAGAATCATTGTGACACTCGGGAGCACCCGAGCCACCACGACCGCTATAATACGGCGAAATGTCAACGGATTCAGATATTGAGCTTGTTGGTAATACGCTTTGGTTGACTGACGTGTGTTGGGCCGGATCGTTGGTCGAAATGTGACCTAAAACAGGTTAGAGTCTTTAGAGAAGCAAAGATCGGGTTTGAGATCTTACCTTTAGGAAGAGATTGGGCATCATCATGACGCGCGGAAGTAGAGGTTATCCAGGAAGGTGGCTGGCTCGAATTCGGGGAATCTTCTGTTTGGTCTTGACGGAGATTCCTTTCGAGGGGTGGAACATAAGGTGCTGATGAGTTATTCTGCATACCATTGAGTTCTCTGGCGGCGGTTCCTCCAGAGGATCGTGGCCTGATTGCTCTAAAGACACGGGGTTGTGAAACCAAACGGCGGCGTTTGGCTGCGTAGGAGGACGATGGAGGCCAACGTCGTTCATTTTGCCAGTGTTCTACGTGAGATGTAAGTAAAGAGCATCCCCTTTGACAGTAGGTCCTCACCATTGTATGCTGATTGGCCCGCCTCAACCCAACTCGAAGCATTTTGGAGGGTGTGAAGTATGTTTAATTGATCTTTGAGAAGTGAAGAAAAGTCATAAATGTCCTTGTAGGTCAGAGCGTCGAAGGACCCATAAGCAAATGGTATCGCTACCCCCATTCCAGAGGTCTGACACATCTTCTCAACCACCAGTTGTTTAGTTCCTCGCCTGAGTGCCTGGTAAGCTGATTCGGTGTCGTTGAACCGGGCCACACGTTCCACGTAAAGTTTAAAGTTTCCATTTTTATTGTTGACTGATGACAGTATACTGGACACATCATCTAGCCTTGTGTTTCCTGCTCCTTGCACACTGTTTTCCCATTGATAGAAATCAAGTGCTAGGGATCGCTGGGCAAGGCATTGAATGAATCTTTCCCCAGGCTTTGGATTGTGCTTTCCGGTAATGCTTTTAATATGGCCAAGGCGAGAGTCCTCACTCCGTAGATGCTCAAAGAAGCCTTTAACTATGTTTTGTGAACTGTTTTTCGAGAATTGGGAAATGTTGTTGAGTTTTTCTTGTACCTTTTGCAAGAACCGCTGAGACCGAAACGAAGGGGGGGAATTGGAGTTGGAAGAATAAGTCTCTGAAAGTACATCGTCCGTCGTAAGTTGCGTCGCATCTTCGGGACAAGAATTCTCATCTCGAGAAGTGGGGGATGGAGTAGTGTAGTGCTGAAATGATCTGTCTTCATATGTCTCTGAAGTGCCAGCGGTTTTCTGAAGCAATTCGTTGTTGACAGGAGTATGAGAGGAGCGACGAAAGGGAGTAGTAGTGTGCACCTGCTGAGATGGTGCACAGGAAGAGTTTCGAATAACTGTTACTCCAACTCGTTCTACAATTGTCTCGAGAGTAGAAATTACATCCATACGATGGGCCCTAAGCAAGTCTGGAGATACTCGCAGTAAGGCTTCCAAAATTGACGGTATTCCTAATTCAAATGTCATCTTGGGCTGTTGGGCTGTTGGGCTGAGATAGAAGGGGTAGAACAGAACTCTGACCAGAATTTGAAAAGGTTGATTCAAACAGATCAGCACTGATGGGCACGTCGGAAGCATCATTATTGTTTTATTGGTAACTAGTCGTTAGTCAGTCCGCCAACGAACAACCTATCAAACGGTGTCATCCAGTCTGCATAATTTCTATTTTGGTTCGCAGCCAGCCAACAAACTAGCGCCTTTTTGCCAGATCAAATTATCGGCAAACGCTCAATTTTTCTCCCACATTTCAGAAGGGTTCTGCGAAGCACATTCTCGATTTGATAATAGCCTGTAATGATGATGGAAACTCGCCAACCCTCAGGAGGTAAAACGCACGGATCGGTTTTCATGGCTCTCCGATGGAGATCTGCCACTGGCGGGTCGGTTGTTTCCCACCCCGTGCATCAACAGTCCAGGCTCTTGATCAAAATTATTTTCTTTTCATCAATGCTTTTAGTAGCACTGACGTTCTGGTGGACTCGGATATTGTACCCCTAGATTGTCGTCTTGTTTTCCTAAATGTGGGCTGCATGGGACTCACACTCGCAATGGCTTGCTACTCCCATCACCCGGCCATGTGCATAGCTTCCTTTTGGATAATTTTCAAAAAGGAAACAATCCTTGTTCAGGGACCTGCCTTACCCACCAAGGTTCAGCTGCTCTCCTTTTTACCTTTCAAAAACTTCACAGGCCATGCCCATTCTCAGTTACGCGGCCATTTGCGAAGAGATTGGCCGCCGGATAGTTATAAACCACAAGATGTCGCTCCGCGACAGATCATTTCAAAATAGACCAACTTGGTTGCCTTTCTTGCAAAATGTATCCTAACATCTTGTATGCGCTTCTGTCCACAGCGCTCATCGTGCTAAGTACAGTGCATCTCATCTTGCTTACCATTCACCGCCCCCAGCCTCACCAATTGCCTGAGATATCAATCTTTGTTCTCTTTGTCTGCGTCAATGCTGTTGTCATTGGCATTGGTCTATCAGGCTTAAGGCGCGGGGGTGAGCAGTCCCTTCTACTGAGACAGTGATGGATAAATGCTAAAAGCTTGTTTCAGATACGCCAGCATTTTACTACTCCTTGGGAATATGTACAGCATTTCCGCTAGCCCTTGAGGTATGGTATTCCCAATCCCCTGCTTTGGTCCTCGCTAATCGCGATGTCTAGATGATTCAGCTGAGCAAAATCCAGGCCGGACCACTTACGAACGCCCTCCTGCATCAATTATTCTTAGGGTATTGTTTTCTGTCCCCTGCGGCAAAGCTCGGGTTGATCCTATGGTGTGCTCTCCCCCCCCCCCAATCTTGATATGCCTTGTGCTCATTGAGTTAGCTCAGTCGCCTACGAGGCGTCGGTGAAAGGTACAGCTGTGGTCGTATCTATCGACTACATGGTACTCGCGGTTGCCGGTCTGCTTTTTTGAGGTGGAATTCGCGGTATACCATCTCAGGGCCCTGTGATCCATGAAGTTACAATCCATGCATTTCTTGTTATCGTAACGGCAGGGTTTGCCGCAGGTGGACTCGTCCACGACTGGCCCTTCTGGATTGAAGTAAGTTCAGTGAAACTACGGTTCTCTCTTCAACATGTGCTGACATGCTCTTAGGTGATGTTGATTATTGCTATTGATGTCTATATGGCTTGAAATATCTCCGCTCAGTCTATTGAACCGGGAAACACAGTGCTGTTAGCGAATTTCAGCAATGACACCATTTCCTGTTTCTGATTGAATTGGAATGTGGCTGCCTGTGGATACTAGTTGGTGTAGCAAGGGCTCATGCTCTTCTAACTTGCTTCTAATTGCTTGAACGTTGAATAGTTTTAGCTATTTCCATTTAATACCATAACAATATTAATTGGCCTAACTTCCAGGTTTCTGCTCCCTCCTTGTCTCTTGGCTGGGAAGCTTGTCGGTCGGCTGGATGCTTCTTACGAGCTTATGGCTTTAGAATGAAGGACATTAAAGCTAAAGACTCGAGCACAAGTTTCTTCAGAGATAATATGATATTCTTCGCTTGCATGGTTTGGTGAAGATACAGTTGAGTACACAAATGGTTACTTTACGGCAGCAAGCAAAGTGATTCTGGTTTTGAGAGGTATATGGTTCTCTTAGAATGTTCTTTTCATTGTGTAGCTAACACCTTTTCAGAGATAGACAAAGATTTGACCGGCAATTAGGGAAAAGAACACGCACTCGAGCGATGCGAGAAAATGCAGAACCCCAAAAGAACCAACAGATCTCAGGATCAAGATAATGACCAAACCACGGCCCATGTTCTATTGAGCAGAATGCGGTTGAATCAGGAAACTCTAGTGGAAAAATTACATTCGGATTGGGAAAAACAGCAAAACAAAGAACGATATGTTCCAGACAAAGCTCGCCAACGTCGGAAAATCTCACACGAACCGAACCAAGTGAATAAACATCATGATGCTGAGACAAACCTCAACCAAACAAGCGCGGTCCCGCCCCATCTTAGCCAAGCTATTGACATCGACAAAGAATCAGAAGAATCTGCGCTCTGTATGTTGTCGCTTTCTTCACTGATGGAAAAACTGAAGAAGCAAAAGGGGAACAAAAACGGAAGACCCGGGTTCATCGGATCGCCAAGTGCTGCTCCTGCGAAGGAATTAGCTCAGCGGTCAATAGATGCACATGTGAGCATGTGTATTGCCCATGGTGCTTCCGTTCCTCAGATGAGCCCGACGCGACAACAGACGAACCCATGGAGGAGATTCCAGATTTTAACAATGATGATCTCTGGAGGAGCGTAGAAACGGTAATTAGACCGAGTCCATGCCGGTTTAGTTCTTCACTAACATACTCCCAGGCTATTCGGAATCGAAACAGAGGGGCCTGAGTTCGCATGTCCGAGTTGTTTACCATAAAATTTGCCCAATCGATCGTAGGATTCGTCGAAATGAGCTTCAACGGCGTCAGCCTCCAGAGGAAGGGCGCAGATAATGGCGATTGCAAAATCGGTTCGGCTTCTTGGGCGCATTCTGAGCCGTTCTTGGTAGCTTTGTCGCTAGAGCTTGGATATTTAAGCCTTCTCTTAATCACAAGGGAAATGAGAGTGATGGATTTAACATGATCATATCCAGGACAGTTCGGCCATGAAGATGGAGGGGTAATCAGTTACGCCCATCTGCAAGGATGTCAGTCTCGTAACCAATCATTGGCGTGCATATAATAAACTGACTGCGAGCTGCATTCAGCAGCATAAGCAACCTGGGATACATTTAGTAGTTTATCGCCTTTTAGCATACGATTGCGATATCATCGCAAAACATCCTCTAAGCGACTCACTCTACCGATTGCAAGGTCACTGTACTCCAGCCGAAGGTTGCTATAACCTATCAAAATACAATAATGTGTTCTAGGATATAACTTGTACGCCAACCTCATGTCAAAATGCCAAGCCCTGGGCAAGGGGAAAGAAAATATTTTGGTTGGAGGGATTTGTGGTGGGCTTGGTGGCAGGGCAGAGGAGTCATTCGTCGCAGGATTGCAACGAACCCTTCGCTGCAGCAATTCAAAGGATTCGAGAGGCTCTGGACCAAGAACTGGATAAGATGAAAACCAAGGGCGACATAGACAAGCATTATTGGACGGAGATGATCTATCGCCGGTTTTTAGGCTCCTATAGAGTCCATCATGTACGAGAAAGTGTCCTACCCGCGGCTGAAGATACAGGCACTACCGAAGCCATTCTGTCCGGAATCTCTCCCCAGGATAGAGGTTTTCTTCTTAGGTTCGCATCCCGTGATGTGAACAATCTTACTGCTGTTACATTCAAAGATATTCAGTACCTTTACCGACGCGGGGCTATCTTCTTGAGGAACTATGGGGAAACACAGACATCTGGATTCAATGCTGAGACAAACCTCAACCATGCCGGCTTTAGTTCTTCACTGACAGATTCCAAGGCTATTCGGAATCGAAACGGGGAGACCTGTTCAGAATAAGGTTCTTGGTTACAGTGGTGATGTTTGTAAGATGGGAGTGCAACTGCGCTAGCCGAAAATCAGTTCATGTAATCTGCAAGGGGAATTAGCGTTATAGAAACTCAATTCACTTGCTGGGAACCTTTCGGGGCTCTCGGATTAATAATTTTTCCGACGGATTAGATTCAAGGGGAGGAAGATAACTTCACTCTTTAATAGATAAATCAAGGGCCATGCAATATCAGCTCCGGTTGGGCGAAGCGAAGAGTGCTTCCCAAATAGGATACCTGCTATCCGTGCGATGGTTCGAGTGGGCTACTAAAAATGAGATGCACCGTTCATGCCTCTTTGCATAACCCGATGTAGCCCCTGCAATAAGTACTAAGCTCAGTGTTTTCCTCTCGTGTTTCGATGATCAACACTCCTCATCCAAGTGATTCCAAATCTCCAAAGAAACACCCACCCAGAGCGTGGCCGTTGCATGGTGGGAATGGAAATGCTATACCTCCGTGGGGTATGGATGACCATGGACATACTGGTTCCCAGTTGGGTTGGGCGAAGCGAAGATCCGAACCGTTTGTTCCGTGCTAACAAATTCCAGGGGCTCAATCGTCGGGCAGGAAGCAGTCAAGGTAAGGCTAGCTTGCACTCTGGACCTTGTTGTGTCTCTTGCTAGAACTCCATAAGGAGAGGCCTTGCACCCACCCTTCTCCCATCTTGTTCTCTACATACGTCGGAAACGACGATAGCCGGCATGGGATCACAGAATCCCAATCTCAACCATCTCCTTTGCCCCCGTGCCAAAAGAGTTTTTAGCTGCTTTCTAGTTTTTACCCTTCCTTTTATCATGCTTGGCGTTGTCTTCTGGGTTGTCCTCTGGATGGTTGCAAAAGTCGCAGTGTGATTGCCTGCCCAGTTGATCAAAATAATTCCTCAGTCACAAAGAGCAAAGAGAAAATGGGATTGAACAAGAGCTGTTATACCCAAGTCCTCTAAGAAGTGAAAGCCCAGAGATCACGACAGATGCCCGAAGAAACCAAAATGGCTCAGGAGATACTGCCAGTCATGGTTGATGGTTCTGAACTGAGACTGGCTGCATGGTGAATGAGAGAGGCGCCCAAAAATGACGCTGGCCAGATATACTGTGATCACCTGGATTGTCATGATTATATCTTCAAGCAATGCAGTGAGTGGATGTATGTGTCATTCTTTTTAACTATAGTTTCTATTTCTTGAACTGTGTGCTAAGTATCTCAACAGCAAACACATGAATAAACATGATCACTCATACAAGTGCACAAACTCAGGTTGCAATCAACAATTTATTCAGACAGCTATCTTGCATCATCATCTAATAATGATTCATCAAGTGAACAGCAAATGAAGATGAATGTGTTCTTATTCAGACTGTGATCATAGCTTTAGCAGAAAGACAGATCTCAAAATTCATATTCACTGCTTTTATATAAAACCAGATAGCATTGAATCTCTCTGTGCTGAAATTACTCAGCTTCAGTGAGAAGCTATGCAAAGAGATTCAAGACTGAATAAGATGAAAATGAAGCTGAAACAGGTACTTTCTTCTTCTGTTTGACTCTCTTCCTGTGCAGAGCTTGAAGTGGGAGTTTCAGGAAATTGATTCCACAAAATCAAACTGCACATGTTCAAGGCTATCAGATGATGATTATTGATTTAAGATATGTTGATGGCCTGTTAATCTTCTCTATGTGATTCAGGGCCCTGTTTTGTTTTCTGGTGTACATGCATCATTTGTTCGTGGTTGATATAAATCAAAGGAAATTGATTGGTTACTTAAAAATAGAACATCCTTGCTTTGCGCCAATGAAGAAATAGTGCGTCCGGAAAATTAGAATTTCTGGATGTTGTGGTGAATTCTACCCAGTTGTAAGAAGCTATTCATTACTATTCCTTGACAGTCAAATCTAGATATGCTTATATGACCCAAGCTACACTTCATTCAGATCACAGTCTTTCTGGAAATTTCCCTCGCTCCCATTATCTGATATTTATTGAATATATTCTCGACACTTTATTGCTGACCCGGGAAACTATACACAGCTAGAATCAAGGGATGGGTTCACGTGGCTTGTACGGGTCCCAATAACCGCCTTGCTGCATATTTTGTTGGAAGATGGCCCCTGGAGCAAATACTGAGTTATGTCTCTCTTTTGCTTTGATGATCACCACCAGCCCGTTGCCCTGTGCATATGCAGGCCGGCCATCTATGCATGGGAGGAAGTTGCTCCTGTAGGAGCATATGAACTTACATGCTTGTGCCTGTATGTTTAGCACCGGCGCCTCATTTGATGGCCTGGAAAGGATTGAGGCTGTCAAAATTGGGCTACGCCGCTTGGTGTGATTTCTGTTCATCTCTTCATCATTTCCTGGTTTTGGCTGGTTATCTGCAAGCATAAAAGGATAGGAGCAACCCATGATGATCTGTCTTTTGTCTGCTCTTTCCCAGAGGTCTCTTGAACTAAGCCCCTTATCATACACTCAGCATACCTTATCCCGCCCTTTTTTGTGCTTCAACCTCATGGGAACACAAAAAAAAGGTACTCGGTCGCGTACCAGCTACTCTCAGTGTGTGAATGTCAGTCAAAAATGTGATGAAAGCCGCTCATTGTGTGAGAGATGTAAATGCCTTGGATTTGTCTGTGACTACACACCCCATCTCATTTGGAAGAAGGTGAAAGTAGTGAGGGAATCCTTGTTGTTGTCAATTTTGAACCCCCTGAGTCGGGCGGTATCAATCACAACATCATCAACCACAGCAGCAGCAACAGTGGCAACAATATCACTCTCAGCTGCTCCCCTGCTACCGGCAAGTCTCACACTCACCACACTATCCGAGAGCCTGATGTGCAATTGTTCTAGTTGAAAGACAGATGATGAACTCTATCAGTCTTGTGAGAAACAGAAATATTTCCTATCAACAAATCCTGGAAAAAGCCAAACTGAAGTTTCCTGACACACTTGCATGTAGTTATCACAGGCGGCATCAGCATATTCAATTGGGATTGTGGGGGGTCAGTGCAAGATATTGTATCTCTCTATCAGCAATTTCCCATCATTAGAGATGAAGTCAATGCTTTGATGGCACTACATGTTCAATGCTGCTGAGTTTCTTCGCTGGCAAGCGTTGACTGAGTCATAACTGAAACTATGCACTTTCTTACCTTCCCATCTGCAAACAGCAATCCCAAAGTATCAGTTTTCACTATGATCCTGCTGTTTCAAATATCTGTAAGCCTGCCCCTCCTTCAAATATCTTCCAATACACTAACTTGTCCCCGGTCTGGTGCAGATGAGAGCCGGATATACTTGGACCCACCAACTTCCTCAGATCCTATCCTTATTACTGGCACTTCCGGACAATGTGTCTGCTGCAGTGAAAACAGATGCCTGCTCCCAGCTTAACCTACTTGAAATTCTAGGCAGCTTAGACACGGATGTGTGAATTGTGGGGCGGTGATCAGAGGCTGTTCATATCTGGGCTACTTATTGTTCCAGAAGGGAAGGGATAGAAAAAACCACCGGCCTGCTGCGGCCGCTTCTGGATCTGGTAGCTCATTTGTCTAGGAATGAGGATGTAGCAGATGAACTCCGGGAGCTCTTGTTGGGATTACCCCCTGAGAGTGATGACTATGCCAGTAATGTTCATCGATGCTTTATCCTCACAGCGCTGCTTCAGCTACATAGCAGTGTCCGCTCTATTCCCGACGTAGACCTGCGGATCAAAAATCTGTTGGACATGGTGCGTCGTCTTCATGCTGCAACTGACACACGGCATCAATGAGTTCTGTTATGGCTGGCATATGTGGTCGGCTGCTACGTGAGAGAGGTCAAAGATAAGAGCCTTGTTGAAAATATACTACAAGTCAGAATCCCTGATCGCCCATCTAGTTTAGCCTCTGAGGAATCTGTATTGGTGATGTTACAGCAATTGAATGAGTGGTTGTTGATTGGTGAAAAAGATGCAGTTTCTGAGTTGAGCCTATGGTAGGCCTGGTGAAGACAGTTTATTCGCCTCACATAATGTGTATAACAGAAAAATAACTATCAATTTAGACGGCGGGGCAGTGATATGGGGGGATGGCTGCCATTGCTTGATTTTTTGAGAACTGTTTGTGGTGTAAGGATGTCTCAAGCATCACACTCTTCTTTCATTCGGCTTTCTTCCTGTATGGAACCTGACCTATAAAGCTAGCGGTATGGCCACACATATTTTGAGCTTAAAATAATGACAAGGTTGTACCAGTTGAGGGCCTGGCTAATGTATTTTATCACTTTCTCAGCCGGTCTAATATTTTGCCAACAGAAATCCGAAGCTCTGTCATCATAACCAGCGCATGTTTGCCTTCCCTGGATCTTCTGGGGTGACGGAGATTGTCATCTCTGGCGGCTGTGTTTTCCTGATTGGTGCTTCTTGTCCGCTCGATCGTAGCATGGATGCATTCATTGGCACTGGCGCCTTATGTCGACCCGGGAAACGATGCACCACTGGAATCGAGGGAGGGGCTCCCAAGGCAACTCTCGGGCCCAAATCACCACTAGCCTGTTGCCTAATGCAAATGCAGGCCGGCCATCTTTAGTCAATTGACTATGTGACAGGCTCTGAGCAGCTATAAGAATAGCCATGTTTGTCCACACTTTATCCGTGGGAGGTGTTTATCTCAAAATGCTCTTTGTCAGAAGTTGTTGAGAATGGATGTCTGATCTCTTTTGAATCCTTCAGACGAGCATAACATTGTTGATACTGAGAAGCGTCACCATGAAGATGAGATTGAAGAGCAGATACACAACAGGGACTCAATGGTATCTGATTCAATGACACCGGCCCTTGAAGAATTTCCAGATGTCAAGGAGTTTGACCAGCTTCTGAAGAGGTAATAAACTACACTATTCATCTCTGGAAAGGTCACTGACAGGTTTATTAGATATGTTATAACTTCAACTATAAAGACATCAACATCATCAGCAGAAGCAAAACTGATCAAAAAGATGCTTCTTAACTCTAAAAACACATTCATAGCGTCAGCACAATTTCAGTATGTATGTTTGATTTCATTTCTATTTGAATAGTTATTTCAAAATCTGAGACTGATGATTTGAAGATATCGGGTGAAAAACTCGTTCAAACTCAAAACACACAAGGTATTTTTAAAAACTTTATGAGGATAATGCTCATGCTGATTGAGACTGCCTAGTCAAAACAATTGATCTGCTGTCAAGAGAAACCCATAGTCACTCATGAGAAGTTCTTTAAAGTTCTGACAAATGCACACCAGCAATGCCAACACGGAAGCTGGTATAAGACTGAAACTCAAGTGAGAAAGATGTATTACCAGTACACTCATTGCACAGATCAAAATTGCTCTTTTGAAAAGATCAAATAAACTGACTGCAGAATTAACAGAATCCCTCAAGTGCTAGTTCAGCAATACATAAAAATATGCTCAATGTGCAATTCAGTACTATTGAATTCACTGATACCAGCTTTGAAAGGATTTCCAGATATCATTGAGTTTGACAAGCACATAGCAAGGTACCTATACTAATTCAACTCTGAGAGAGGCTACTGACATGTTTATTAGTTATATTAAACATTTGCCTGATGAATTTAGAGATAAAGCTACAATATTCTGAAGCATGATTGAGAAGATTAAAAAGACACTTCTTAGTAATGAAATAGTCAGGTTTTAGTATGTATTTTAGCAACCTTCATGAATAGTTGTTTAGAGGCTGATATAACATTTGAAGAGATTAATTCAAAAAGATGTTTACATTAGAGCTGATCAATGATCAGAATTCAGTCTGTTGAGAAGAGAAACTCATTGCAATTCAAGAGAAACTATTTAGAATTTTGACAACAGCATATCAGAAATGTGAATATGAAGATCAGAAAAAAACTTCAGCAGAAGTTAATAAATTGTATTCTTAATGAGTATATTCATTATTGTCTGAGAATATTTTGAAAAGATAATCTTGACTAACTTCAGAATTAACAGAGTTTCTGAGAAACTAATTCGTGAATTTATTAATATATGCTTAATATGCAGGCTGAAATCCACTAGATCATCATTTATGTGTGAATATAATGAATATAAGAAAAGCTATTAACATCTGAACACTCTGAGATTGTATCAATTGAAGTGTGTATATTATACCTTTCTCTTCTATTAACTCTTTTCATTGCTGATATTGGTAAATAAGACAACTCTAAGAACATCTATCATCGCGACTTCTCTAACTGACTTTAATATTACAAGCAGGCAGAGTCTTACTGCTGTGAATATATTAATTCTTCTACAGATAAGCCTTGCAACTTCATCATTTCTCATTCTAGTAGACTGATTATGTGACCGTGTCTGAGACCAGAATCAAACTTTACAGTTATTATATTATCTAAAAGTATTACTTCTGATTATGATTTGTATTTATTATATTAATCTTAAATCATGTTATTTTAAATATTAAAGATCTCAGATTCACTTTTTAAATAAAAATCTAGTCTCAGATAAAGAATATATTTAAATTCTTAGTTATATTTTTATTCTGATCTCATTATTAAGAATAGTATTAAATAAAACTATAAAATCATTTCTCACTTATATAATATCATAACATAGTGCTTATTTATTGAAAATTCAATAAAGAGTATTATCAAATATTATTACTTTTCTAAATATAGATTATAATTCACATAATTTTAATTATAAAAAAAATATAAAATATAAAAAAAAGTAAAAATAAAAAATAAAATAAAAACAAGAAAAAATCACAATAAAAAAAAAAAAAAAAAAGAGAAAGAAAAAAAAAAGAAAAGAAAAAGAAAAAAATAAAAAATAAAAATAAAAAAAAATCAAGATTATAAAGCTGTAGTATTTTTAAAGTACTCACTTCTCAGAGTCTTTATAATATTTATTATTAATTATATATCTCTTACAGTGAGAGTAATATAGCTGTAATAAGTTATTATCTTAATATTATTTAATAAATAATCAGTATATATCTGTATAAATGTGAATAATTAGAAAATATATACTTAAAAATTATGATCAGAGTGAACTCTGCTATCACTTGAATAATATTAAGAGTAGAATACTGAAATTGATAATTTCTCTCATTAATTTCACAGATAAGATATGTGAAGATAATCTTGAGAAATATAAGATTTTCTAACTTCTGATAAAAACAGATCTCATGAAGAGACTCTATTTTCATAATATCAGAGACTGAGTATTATTAAAAAGTATTACTTTTATACAATGTATATATACTTACTGCAGTAATTCACTCTCTGTATATATAACTAAGAGTTACAGCTTTTTCACACTGCACAGCTCTCTCTGAGATACTACTGTTAATTTATAACTTATACAGTCTCTCAGTTCAGTATACACTGTGTATATACAGTTCTGTGTGCTTAGATTATGTTAATCATTATAATCTGACATAATACTCACTTTTCACAGACTATATTTCATTTAAGAGAGAAGAGAAAAGACACAACTATTATTTTATTAAGAGAAGAATGAATAATTAGTATTATTAAATATAATTTAATTTATCTGTATTTAAAATTTAATTAGTTTATACTCTTTAATTTAAGAGTTTCTAAGAGTGTTTTAATAGTTTTCATATCAGCTTGAACTTAGTAATGAGTTGAAGAAGAAGAGAAAAGAGAGAAGAAAGAAATAAGAATAACTTATCTTTATAATATAAAAATAGAGAATCACTGCAATTATTCTCTCTAGTAATAAAGATCTGTTTTCTGCATGTATCTCTGATATATATTATATAATCAATGCATATAAAGAATATCAATAGTGTATATATTGAATGAAGATAATATTGCTATATAATACTGTAGCTGTTTCTGTACATCTCTGAAAGCAGTTAATAGTTTCTTTATCTCTTTATATTTAATAAGTTAATAATATATTCTGATGCACTCTTTCTTTCATTATCATTATTATCACTATTATCATTATCATTATTATTATTATTATCATTATCATTATCATTATCATTATTATTATATCATTGCTAGCTATCTTCTCTGTCTTTATTCTCTCTCAATACTTATTAAAATTAATCATGTCATCTCTCTTCAAATATTCTGCAGTTCTGTGAACTATCAAGGCATGTGAGTACTATCACAGATTGAAGAGAGAGAAGAAGAAGATGTTCAAGTATAGAGAGACAGATTGTAAGATATATTATAATATCTTGAAGAGACTCTGTAAGAAAGTAAAATAATAATGATTTTAAGTAACACTTCTAATAGATTTAGACTGAACTAAGTATAGAAATAATGCAGATGATGTCATCTATAAGAGATTAAAAAAGAAGACAGTGAAAAGTCTTATACAGTAGTAATGAGATTAGAAGAAGTTCTGAGAATGATTTAAGACTAAGATGAAGAGAGAGAGAAAGAAGAAGAGTATTACTATAAATAAACTGTAACAGAAGAAGATTGAGAAGATATTAAAGTAAGAGATAAAGAAGTTAAAACTGATAAGTTTTTTATTAAAAGATAATAATTTTTAATAGCACTTCTATTCTCTAATTGATTAGCAGAAGCTAACAGAGAAGAAGAAGATTGAGATCTTATTCAGATCTTAAATACACTTCATAATTCAGAATATTGAGAAGACAGCTCTGCTCTCTGAGCATGTTAATCTACTTACTACTGAGATGAAATCTGAGACAGCAGATCAGAAAATGCAGGATTTTGAGATACAGATTAATCTGACTAAAGAGAAGCAGTGAAAACTCTTCTCTGAGAAGATAGCAGAGAGAGATTTTAAGATAATTATTATCTCAGATGAGAAGAAGAAGAATAAGAATAAGAATAAGAAGTGAATTATAAAGAATAATGAGAAGAATGAGAAAGAGAAGAAAGATAATAAGTAGAAAAAGTTTTTTTCTTTTTATATTAATTAGTTATAAGTTCATAACTATTAGTTAATAATTGAAATTAATTTTAAGTTTTCAAAAATTATTGTACAAGTTATAATTAATTATCAATATCAGAAATAATATATATATATATATTCAACTATCATTTCACTATAATGTATAAGTATTAATATTAATATATTTTTAATAATATTATCTAATAATGTAATTTGATAACACTCTCTTTCATAATATTAATATATTTCAAGAAATATGACAGAGATTAATTAAGATTGTTTATTTACTTTTTATATATTAATGATTTTTAATCTGAGTTAGTACTAAAATTATAACTAAGTTAAGAAAGAAGATTATTTTCTCTTATATTAATTCTTCTTACACATATCAGTGATCAGTTATTGAAAATAAATTATTATCTTTCTTAAATTATTATTATATCTTCTGAATTCACTTCTTTCACTTCTTTTACTTCTATTGAAGATTTATAAACTCTTCAAGAAATCACTGTAAATTACAAAGTCTATATTATTTACAATTTAATACAGAATGTTCTCTTTTAATTATAATAAATAATCACTTCATTCTTCATATCTGATTTCAGGTTATAAAATTTATGAAAAACTCAATATAAATACTGAGATGAACTATGAAATAATTATTAATAGATTATATTATAGATTACTGAAGAGTTATCTCTTTACTATAATTACTATAACTTTATTTAGAAATATTTATTATGAACTGATTATAGCTCTGAAGAAATTACTCAACATCTGAAGTTATCAGAATATAGATAATAAAAGAAAAATAATCAGAAAATTACTACTAAGCTAGTAAGTTACTCTATTAGATAATAATTTTTAATAATACTAACTTTCTAATTTGAAGAAAATTATATGAAAACAATTATATATCAGTACTCTGATTTCATAACTCTTATCTAATAACTTCTGTGAATAATTATT